AAGGGTCCAGACCCGAAACGTCAGCTTTCCTGCTCCTCTGAAACTGCTTGGCCTGCTGTGTTCATCCAGCTCCACACCTTGTTATCTCAGATTCTCCAGCATCGGCAGTTCCTACTATCTCAAAAACTTTGGGTGTGATAATAGTTTTGTAAATCCAGTGACTTTGGGCTGGTGTTGGGGGAGAATGAAGCTGCTGAGACACCTGACTGCTTCATTGCTGCCCTTTGGGGAACAGAACCTGCCATCCTTACTCAAACCCAGACAGAGGGGCCTGTGCTCAGTCTCACTATGATGCTGCCTCTCAGTGCCCCCTGAAGGTAACAGAGGGATGAACAATGAATGTAGCCCTTGTCTCAGGAAGGTCTGAGGGGAAACAAAATGATGTGTGGTGAGGTGCAATTATGAGCAATGACAGATGAGGTATTTTGAGGTAAAGTGACGGTCACCCAGTGAATACTTCAGCTAAACTGGGGCACAGCAGGATCCCAAAGACAGCCAATCATCTGCCGTTGGTGGTGTGAATTGAGAATTGGGATCATTGCAGGCAGTTTCTGTTCTTTGGAGGAGCCCTGAAGGATCGTTAACACCCCTGGTACCTGAGGCCTTATCCCTTCTGAGCCAGTGTCTGACTATGCATTTCCGGAAATGACAGTGATTGCTTGTGGGGAAGGGGGAAGGGGGAGGGAGGACAAGTGCATATTGGACCCCTTCCTCCTTACATCCTTGGGGTGAGTATATTTGCAATGTTTTCCTTCATGGGAGCCAGGTTTTTCTCCAGGCAAGCCTGGATTTTCCAGAGTTACCGTGGAATGCGGTCTCAAGCAGATACCAGGTGCCTCACTAATAGATACATGGAGACAGCTGATCACCTGCATCAGGCCATTGTTTTATATCTGTCCTCCCCCAAGGGCTGCTAGTGGGGTCTTAGGGTGACCTGTTAATGCTCAGGGGGACACAGCCTGTGTGGATCTGAGCCCGTACATTTTAATCGGTGAATGAAAGCTGGTCGCAATAAACTAAGCATCACTGCAAATAACAGAGCCACAAGTGGGTCGGCTGGTTTTTGTTTTTAAGGAGCTTGCTGAGATTTTATTTTCTTTTAGTCTTTCTCTTCTTGGAATTTTCCTTTTTTGGTGGTCCTGCACAAATTAAAAAGAATAGGTTTCGGATCAGTGCCAGGAAAACGAGAATCTGTAACATCTGCTCATCTGCCTGGTGTATCAGGCTGCTCTGGGGCCAGGTCCAAACTTACACACCAGCTGTTGACTGTTGCCCTCACTCTAAAGGGGCTTTTGACCAAGGTCAAAAAGCTCCCACCTGCCCTTTGTTTGGGAGGGAGGAGAGGAATCAGCAGAGATTTCCATCTCTCCCTGCACTCCCATATCCTCCACTGAATAGGGGGACAACATTCTGAGCTGTGGCATTCTGCAGGAACCTCTTGCTAAACTCAGAACAAAATCCTGCGGATGCCAGAAGCCTGAAACAAACACAGAGAATGCCGGAGAAACTCAGCGGGTCTGGCAGCATCTGCGAAGAGAGAAACAGATTTAAAGATTCAAGGCTGGTATGACTCTTCTTCAGAACACTATTTTTATTATCGGAATCTCTGGCTCAATCGCAAAAACATTATTCCTGATTCAATGGTCACTTCTAGAATCCTTCTTGGTGTGACCTGTATACAGACAGACCATGGTGTGGGTTATTCTGCTGTACAGCACAATTGAAAACCAAATCGACATGAACTAAAGAAAAACCAGAAAGTGTTAGAGAGACTCAGCTGTGGACAGATAAATGTTTTAGAGAGTTTGGCCCAATTAGTTCACACTCTGAAGAGCATCCCACCTAGACCCACCCTAACCCTGTAACTTTACATTTCCCATGGCCAATCCATCTGACCTGCACATCCCTAGACAATTTAGCATGGCCAATTCACCTAATTTGCACATCTTTGGACTGTGGGAGGAAACCGGAGCACCCGGAGGAAACCCACGCAGACACGGGGAGAATGTGCAAACTCCACACAGACAGTGTTGAAAATGTTAAACCTGTACCTCTCTCAAATCCTGCCAGACCTGTTGAGTTTTTGCCCCATTCTGTTTTTGTTTCAGATCTCCAGCATTCACAGCACTCAGCCTTAATGTCAGTGTTTGACAGAAATTAGCCTGACACTGTAGCCAGTCTCCTCTTCCATGGTCTATGATGGGCAAGTGACTCACAGGAGTTTGACTGAACCAAAAGGAACATCCTGTCAAATCTCCTCTCTCACTCATCAGGACAGAGTTGCAAGAATGCCAAATCTCAGAGGAAACAGCAATTTATCCTGCACGAGAACAGGCTGCTAATTGGAATCGGCAAATCTACTCCCTTGACTTGTAATCCTGTCCAGACAGTTTAAGACAACAAAAATTCAACAGAAAGGTTTGAACGATATTCTGGTTCTGTAATACCAGGTAAATATTCAGAGAGGGACCAATCCCTCCAGTGCTCTGGGTCTAAATTCAACCGGACTTTCTGAAATCTGATTTTCCTCTGGAACTAGGCTTGAACCCTCCATCCTCAGACTCATTGGCACAGAGGTTACCACTGAGTTAAAGGTTCCCTGCCTCCATGCCTATAATCTGGCTGATTAAATAAAGTTGTATTACGATCACTAACTCACCATTACTAAATCCTTAAATTCAGGAGATTTAATCTTCAGGAATTGCTGGTGGATTTCCGAACTCGCTCCTTTGCTTTGGACAAACCAATTTCTCTGCTATTTTGACAAATCTTCATATTAATTACTCAAGAAACTCACTGTAGCAGGGTTTGATTAAAGCAAATTGTGTCTAACTGTTCTGATGGAGTTATTTGATGAAGTAACAAGAGGGGGATCAACAGAGGTTGTGCAGTAGACAGTGTACAAAAATACAATCGAAAGTCCCTCCAAATAGAATTAGTATCAGACAGTATTAAAGGGGGAGTGGTATTAAAATTGGAGCACATTGTAGCAATAGGGCAGTAATAGAATTAGTTAGTGGGGTGGTTACCAGGATTAGAAGCACACAGTATTAATCAGGCAGTGGTGATGAGATTAGAACCCACTGTATCATAGGGTGGTGATAATGGATGCAGTATCAAAAGGAGGGTCATACTTTTGGAAGGAAATTAACACAGGGTTGAAGGCTAAGAAGAGTGATAAATAAATGTCGTTCAGACCCGAGCTGTATGGCACAGTAGCTCAGTGGTTAGCACTGCTCCTCACAGCACCAGGGAGCCAGATTTGATTCCACCCTCGGGCGACTGTCTGTGTGGAGTTTGCACATTCTCCCCGTGTCTGCTTGGGTTTCCTCTGGGTGCACCGGTTTCCTCCCACAGTCCAAAGGTGTGCAGCTTAGGTGGATTGGCTATGCTAAATTGTCTAGGGATGTGCAGCTTAGGTGGATTGGCTATGCTAAATTGTCTAGGGATGTGCAGGTTCGGTGGATTGGCTATGCTAAATTATCTAGGGATGTGCAGGTTAGGTGGGTTGGCCATGGGAATTGCAGAGTTACATGGTTTAGGGTGGGTGCTCTTCAGAGTGTAAACTCATTGGGTCAAATAGCTTCCATGCTATATGGATTCTATGGTGGAAGGAGATAAGCAGTTAGGCCCCCGCATGTGTTCACATTGGGACTGTGGACCCTCACATGGTAATAGATAAATGATATATACTCAGCTCTCATGAGTATAATTACAAAGTTTCTGGGAACAAGTTTAGGAGGACACAGGCACCTTGGTAAAGTGGGTAGCAACATGGCAAATGTAGTTTAACATAGATGAGCGTAAATTATGCATTTTGTTCAGAGGCTATTTAATCAAAATGGTGCTCTATTGAGCAGAGTTGCAATGGAACAGGAATCATAAAGGTTGAAGGTTGCATCACAAGTTAATGATGTGGTTTTCAAAGCATATGAAATACCTGGTTTTATAAATAAGATATAGAACACAAAAGCAAAAGAACTATAGCAAATCTTTAAAATTTGCAGGATTATGGTGTGGGACTAAATCAGAGATAGCAAGAACTGCTGATGCTAGAGTCAGAGTCGATACAGTGTGGAGCTGGAGGCCCACCCCCTGCCTCATCCCATGTCCAACCCTCCCTCTAATCCCACCTCCTTGACCTGACACTACCTGTCCATTTTCACTCCCACCTATCCACCCCTCCTATCCCACTGACCAATCCCTATTGCCCCCTACCTGCATCCATCTATCACCATCCCACCTACCTTCCTCAGCCCCACCCCTCCTCCCTCTATTTATTTCCCAGCTCCCTTCCCCCTACCCATGCCTGAAGAAGGGTCTAGGCCTGACACATTGACTGTCCTGCGTTCCTCCAGCTTCACACTGTGGGACTAAATCAGATGGTCTTTCATGAACTGGAACAGGCATGATGGGCTCAATGGCCTGTGTTCTATATTTTAAGATTTGATGATCCTATAAGGAAGCTAATGATTATAGGTGGTAAGGTATTCCTTTTAACAAAGTGATAATTGTGGATGTATTGCCAAACAATTTCACTGGCTCAGAACAGGGACAATTTAAGTGTTCAATTGTATTCCTGCATGTAGTGAATTATTGTTAGAGATTTTAAAATGTCAACTTTTAAATTTTAATATCTTTGTGAAGTAGGTTTTGTGAGGTCAGCCCACCAACAAGAAACCCATGAAGCTCTCTAAGGCATACAGATGTTATTTTTTAAAAATATACTCCATGCTCACCAAATTATTCCTTATACATTGTCTGTTCCCAGTTTCCATTTGTTACCACAGCCTACTAAATGGTAACAGATTCTTTTTTATTTCTGGTTTTAAGTTAAATTCATAAATGGTCCTTTGGTAGAACAGAACTTCAGTATTGCTGAGAAAGATTGTCAAACCTTTTCATTTAGCATTCATCTGGACAATATGCAAGAATACTAACTTAAGAAGAAACTAACATTTATACAAGTGAGACGAGAATGCCAAATATTTACCTAGTTCCCAAACCAAACTAGTCCCACTTTCCCGTGCATAGCCCACTTCCCTCCAAACCTTTCCTGTTTGTGTACTTATTTAAATATCTTTTAAAATTTGTAACTGTACCTGTGTCCACCACTTCCTCAGGCAGTATGTTCCACATATGAACCGCTCTGGGGAAAATAAAAGTTACCCTTCATGTCCTTTTTAAAATCTTTCTCCTCTCAACTTAAAGGCCCTCTAGTTTTGAACTCCCCCACCCTAGGGAAAATATCCTTGCTATTCACGTTCAACTGTGCCCATCATGATTTTATAAACCTCTATAAAGTCACCCCTTGACCTCCTACGCTCCAGTGAAAAAAGTCCCAGCCTATATTTAAAATTCAAACCCTCCATTACCGGCAACATTCTGATAAGTCTTTACCGAACCCCCTCCAACTTAATACCCTTCCTAAAACAGGACAACCAGAACTGGACACGGCAGTCCAGAAGATTCTGATTGGCAGAGGTGTTGTCATGGAGAATGTGCCCAGCTCATAGTAACTGGTAGTTAATTGGCAGGCCTTGTTAAATGTTAAACCAGGCAAGTTGATTGGTCAAGGGATTGTCCTGAGAAGTTTGAGTTAACGAGCTAGTCCTTTTAAATTGGTGCATTTGCCATGATCTCCACCTATCAGAGACCACTAAATAACTGGAGTTCAAGAGCCAATCAATCAGTGCTCCTCTCATACAATATAAATTTTGGATTCTCATAAGTAGGCATTCTGGAAAATTGTCCTAATGAGTCCAAGATGATGATTTCTCTCAAAATGCGTATTTTTTTTCAGCAATATTCAATTAATGTGCAGAGATAATAGGAACTGCAGATGCTGGAAAATCTGAGATAACAAGGTGTAGAGCTGGATGAACACAGCAGGCCAAGCAGCATCAGAGGATGTAGGAAGCAGCATCATAGCCTTCCTGCTCCTATGATGCTGCTTGGCCTGTTGTGTTCATCCAGCTCTACACCTTGTTATCTCAATTAATGTGCATATACTTTAATAACAAAAAAGCAATTGACAATGTATTGTTTTAAATGACAAGTTGTTATATTTCCTCTTTTTAAGTGTACATTAAAACATCCTTTTTTCCAGGAATTCTAATGCTTTCTTGGAGCTTGCTCC